ATAAATTTTGGGGAAGCTTGGGGAGCTGAAAAGCAACCCCCTAGCACTGTTCAGCTTCAGGCAACACTTGATGTTTGTCAGCACAGTGGTCCACCCAACATGCTCCTGAGCCAAGTCAGAAAAGCATCACTGCATCGTTCAGGATGTACATTTTCACTACATGACGCATGATTGATCCTGGATGCAAGGTCAAGGACAAAGTCCTTCAGCTCACCCCCTCAAGTGCAGCCTAACATATGCAAACAGGATAAATCATGTACACTATTAAACTTTATGTAACAATAAATTCTGCATATTAACTGCCTGCATCTTTTAAAGGAGTGCAGTAATTTACCAGGTTATCGGGAGCCCTAGCTGAAGTTAGTTCGCAATATATTTAAGCCATCATAGTTCATCAATGTCCATGCTGCTAAAAGGCAGTACCCCTGGAATAACTAGCAGGTTAGAAACATATTTTTAAAATCTATGCTTCAGTGTGAAGTGCTGGGAAAATGAGAAACTTTGATCCTTTCTTTTAAACACCACAATAAACAACAACAAAAAATGTAATTTACTATCCAATGATAAACATTTAACAGGCCAGTTTTCAGACAATATAGAACTGCTTCAAAGTATCCAAATGATGGTGAGTGAATGAGATGTGTGTTTAACTGGGTGAGCAACACTTCCAGAAACTGCTGATATGGATAGATGCATTTCCATGTGGATAAATGGTGTGAATGGGAGATGGCTGAGTGGGTTCCTATTCATTTGGTCATCTTTATATCATATAGGAAAAATATACAGTGAATTGTGACTCTGAAGACATCAGGTTAGAGAGAAAGAAAGAAAGATTTAAAATTGTAAGCTAATACTTTCCTCTAGTATGTTATGTCTAGTATCTCCACCCTTTAGATGATAGGATGTGTGGGACATGGAATGTCTTCATTTATGTTTTGTTCAGTACTGAGTACATCATTAGTGCTAAACAAACACAACTAATAATTATATTACGCTCAGGGGCTGGATACTCTCTAAACAGTAAAGAACTGCAGAATGAACTAAAACTGTCACATGTATATCTGCATAGGACACTCGGAATAAACTTTAGCGGCAACTGTAAATAGTATCCCCCAAATACGTTGCAAATATGATAACAATTAGGGCCAAAATTCTCCTCCCGGCCGTAAGCTAGAGCAAATGGCATTCCACAGTAGACATCGGCATCACTTGGGGGCACAGCTACAGAATCCTCCCTCTAAGGGCTGTCGAGGCTGCAGAACACAGTATGCGAAGCTTGGGCTGGAAGATCTAGGTAGTTGCACAGTCACAACCCATGTGCCCACCCCTACCCCCCCCCAAATTCCTGTTCTGCACAAGGTGGATCAAGCCCCTATATAAACATATATATGAACGTGTGAGTGTACACATAGGTAATGTATAAAACACTACTAACAATGTAACTTAAGGTTTTGTATTGCTGTCCATCCCCATAGTATCTGAGCGCACCAGGAACTAATGAGATGGGTACATAACAAACATGTCTCATCTTTCGCAATGATAACCCTTGTTCATCCCATGTGCCTCACTCAGGCATTGTTTACTGTCATCCTGTGGCAGGTTTCAGAGTGGTAGCTGGGTTAGTCAGTATCAGCAAAAAGAATGAGGAGGACTTGTGGCACCTTAGAGACTAACAAATTTATTTGAGCATAAGCTTTCGTAGGCCTATTTCCCCCATTGTTACTCACACCTTCTTGTCAACTGTTGGAAATGGGCCATCCTGATTATCGCTAAAAAAGGTTTTTCTCTCCTGCTGATAATAGCCCACCTTGATGGATCACTCTCGTTACAGTTGGTATGGCAACACCCATTTTTTCATGTTCTCTGTGTGTGTGTATATATATATATATATCGTCCTACTGTATTTTCCACCGCATGCATCCGATGAAGTGGGTTTTAGCCTACAAAAGCTTATGCTCAAATAAATTTGTTAGTCTCTAAGGTGCCACAAGTACTCCTGTTCTTTTTGTCATCCCATGCCCTGTCATGTCTGAATGTGACTGTAAGCTCCCTACAGCAGTGATCTGTCTTTTCGTTTATACACTCTATGTACTCTAGGGAGGCTGCTCTGTAAATAATAAAAACAGTTTGCCCATTACCACACATGCATCTATCCTATTTATAAGGTCTGTCTGGACTTTATTCTTTTTATGAGGTTTTGTCTCTTCCTATGTTCCTCATGGTGGATTCTAAAACCCTAATAGTCACTGTTTGGATGAGTGATGGACTGGATGGCAGAGTAGTCATGGGGCTGCCATGCAAGTTGTTTGCATGTAAAGAATCAAAACTTTTTTTTAAACTGAGAAAATAACTAGTGATCATTAACCCCTCCCCCCACAAAAATACTCCCAGCAATAGACTGAAAATGCCCAGTGAAGTCATTTTACAAAGTCGTTGCATGCTCTGAGGCTAATTTGTATTAACACTAAAAGCTTCCGTTTTATAAGCGCTAAATTCTTTCACAGCAATTTATGTAGCAACAGTGTTTTACCAGGGGATTTTAGTTTGACTTCATGGAGCTCAGTACACTCTACCGCTCCCATACTTTCTGTCTCCAAACAATGACATGTTCACCCACCATGCTATGCTGGTCAATACCAGCTGGATGGTTAGGATGTATGATGGCGTTAGTGGTTCTCCTACTGGGTTTAAAACCTCTGGATGGTTGAATCTATGTAATTGGTGAATTCACAACAATTTCATATTTCCTGCTATAAAAAGAATCCTAGTCAATTCCTACTCTGAAATGTTTTAAGGTTCTTAAAAAATGTGTGTTATTTCACCTGTTAATATAGGGGGACAGTTTATTTTGGCTAGTTCTCCTGGATTCTGCATGCCAGGTTACGAATAAAATAACGTTCAATACTCTAAACAGTCTGTGATGCAGATTCTTGTTTCGGTATAAACAGACGTATTGCATATGGCAGGTTCTTAATGCGTTCTCCAGCATTAACACCATTAGATTCACATACAATTGCCTCCTGAGGGGATTTATTTACAAATATTTTTATTACTGATTGTCATCCAAAAAATGCTACGGCAGGTAAGCCTATTTGCCTGTGATGGCCTCTGTTTCATTGGAGTTTGATCAATAACAACAAGAATTAAACTTGCTTTTTTGGAAAGGAAAATGAAACTACTGTATCCCAGTGGTTTCTGCACATGCCGTACATTCCTGAACACAAAGCAGGCTTTGTGTTTAAAGAATGGTACACTTACAAAGATAAGATAAAACAGGACTGGAATATAATATTCCTGGGAAATTTCAGTCCCCCAAGCAAACATGAAGTTAGCAACGTAAAGAGATTTTATGAACAGCGTGGCCAATTGCTGAGGTCCTTACCCAGACAAAACTGCATGTGTGGCTAAGGATTGAGTGAAAACTCAGGAACCAATTCTGCTCTGACTTACATCAGAGTATATGAGGATCAAGTCCACTGACAACACTCTAGGGGCTCTAAATTTACAATGGCGTGAGTTGGTGTGGAGTGTGGACCTGAGGATGGGAATTCTGAATCTAGCTCTATTTTTAAGTAAATGACTAATTTTCACTTCAGAGGGTCAGAGTGAGTCACGGATAAGACTGTGCAGTGTATTTCTTGTGGTGGCAATCAGGCTATGAGGTGCTGGTGGCTGAGGAAGATACAGCTGCACAACTTTGGATCCATCTTTACTGTGATAAAACAGTAAGTGTCAGATTCTGCTTGCCATCAGGGGCTACTCGTATGAGTCAGAGGAACAGAATTTGGCATTCAGTGCTTTGAGACCCCTTGTCTGTCTTGGGAAGGATTTGCTGAGCAGGTCCTTTCCAATATGCTGTTTAACACCAGTTCTCCCAAACCCTTGGTTTTGTCAGCCAGGTACTTGAAGCCCACATTAACTAGGCCAACCTGCCTTCTTTTAGGTAGTGTTTTGTTTCATTTCCCCTAGCAGGCTCTCTCTACAGCCAAGCCGAAAGCCTGCCTCACCCTCTTGAGCGCAGGCCAGTGCAGGAGAGTCCCAAGCAAACGAGTTCCCCACTAAATATCTCTTAGTGGATTCTGCCATTCACTTTGCCCTCTGGAGCCCTGAGGTTTCTCCTTCTCCTGGCAAGGAGAGCGCGGGAGGGTGCTAACGGGGGGTAGATTGATCCTGGAGATAGCAGGGGGCTTCGGACTGTGTCCCGTTCCCACTTATAACCTTGAAGGGGGTGGTTGTTGCCAGGGGATGCCACCTCTACTGAGAGCTCTGAGGTAGAACTGTGAGGCAGCCTCGTGTATCTGTGGACTGCTCAGCTCCTTCATTCTCTTCTTAGCCTCGTAAGGGACTTCGAGGGAGGTCTGCCACCCACAATACATCCCATCATCATGCGGAGAACGTGTGTGTGGGGCACATAGCCATAGCACAGACAACCTCTGGGGGTTGGAGGTCATGCAGCAGTTATGGCACACAGCAAGAGAAAACCTTTGGGGGTTGGAGGTCAGATAGCAGTTACAGCACCCCTCTGCTCCTCAGAATGGGCCACATGAGCCGCCATTCAGGATCCCGTTACTCCTCATCGGCCGCATTTCTAACAATACCTGCAACTGTTAGCACTGAAAGATATATTTCTTAAAAAAAAAAAAAAAATCAAACTTCTGCTGCTTCCTTTGCCGTTTGCTCCGCTTAGAAAATGGAAACAGATGTCTGTGTCTCGTGCAGCAGCCCAAAGCTGCAACGCCTGGGCTGTCGATGCTGTGATGGCGTGTTTAAACCCCCAAGCTACTTTCATGGAAATCAAATAAAAAAACCCACGACAATAAGTCTATTTCCTATTAAACAGAATAATTAAAACCCAACAACTTTGAAATGTGGGACTCAAACTTCCCGTACTGGCACTGTGTGCTGTGTAAATCCACACTGAAGGGTTGTTTAAAAGGTGGATTCCTGACCTGATAATTTAGGCAATTAGAGAACAAACACTGCTCGGAGTTCACAGTTACCTTAGACCAATCCCCCGTTTTCCACTCATAACAGCTTGTGTGATCCTCGCACTCTTCCTCATCCCTTGGCCTGGTGGCTGCATCGCATTTCCCTTGAGAATTCGTGCACATTACTGTTCTCTTCTGGATTCCCCTGCCGCAATCTGCTGAGCACTGAAAAACAAGAGGCATTACTTTCAACCACTGCACAACATCACCTAGCAGAATGGGATCCCGATCCATGACCAGGGCTCCTACTCACTATGATACTACAAATGATTACCATCTTGGCTGGTTGTCATCACAGCTGCAGAAGCAGAGTCGAGGGACAAATGAAAAACAAGTTTCATGAAAAATTTTAAATATTCCAAGCTGTTTTGTCATTTTGAAGGGCTCATTTTTTTCAATTCTTTGAGCCATTTTAATAATTTCTCCCCTACCAAATTATTACAGTATCTAAAACACCACCAATATTTTTCATTTACCAAAACCATGGGAAACAAAATACAAAAATGTAATGATACTTTTGATTTTTTTTCCAGTAAATATTTGAAAAAAAAAGGCAAGGAATCTGACAATATTTTGTGGAAAAACGTTTCCGAAAAACAGCAATTTTGCAACCAAAAAAACCTTTTATTTTAAAAATTTCAGCCAGTTCTAAACAGGAGTCAGTATTGGATGTGTGGAATTTTTAACCCCTTTATTTAAGAGATTACTATCAATACTGAAAAAGGACAAATACACCAGAGTACACACAGGGAAGCTTCTGCATCCTTTGATTTTGCATGACTATGCAATGAAGCATTCTAAATATCACAGTGGCACCAACTCCATCCCTTGGATGCACACTGGAATTTGCAAGGTCTTGTGGTATACCAGCTCACGAAATCCTGCAGCAAGGTCTTCTGCAATGCAGATAATGTGTACCCAGCACTGTATCTTTGATTCTGCACAGCGTTCTTTCTCATAATTATGTTGAGAGCAAATGACAAACACATGCACATTCTTTTCTATTTGTTTAATAATGCTTTCCATCATAGGTTATGGCAATGCATGCAATCATACAGTACACATAACCCAAGGGTGATATTATGCCAATGTATTTCCATTCACCCTCCTCGACCCCACAGTTTGCGATCAGTTCAAAACTACATCCAGCAAACTATGGCTAGACACACACACACCCCTGAGTCATCAGCAGGGCTCAAAGACGGGCTCTTCAGCAATAAGAGCACAGGCCTCTCCCACTGGTGATAAGGGGTATATTCTTTAGCTCTGAGAAAGCAGCAGACAGTTATAGTTGCTGGGAGCAACCACTAGAGGAGACAGGATTACAAGTACCAGGACAACGTAATCCACATGCATGTGAGTGGGCACTAAAGGTCCTTGAGTTCTGTGGAAGTGGATTCTGCCAGGGCTGCTATGGACACAGGGATATCTGAGCATCATTTTGCTACTCAAGTTGAAGGAATGTTGGAATTTTTGTTTTGATTTGTCAGAGAGTTTGCTGGGACCTCACAGCCCCCTCTGGGGCCCACCCTGGATGGTGTCACAATCCCAAGACTGAGAAACACTGCTTTAAATCATCACTTTTGCAACAAAGGGATATTGGAACTAGTGGCATTGTCAAACCCATCTAAATTGCACCAATGTACAGCAGCACATATGTTCTTCCTACACCCCACTTTTCTGCCAGTGCAGTGTTTACAAGCCAGTTTTCATGGAAAGCCCGCTGGGGACAGGTGGGTGGAAAAACGATATACATACCAACTGAGATGATAACTAACCCTCTCTTGAGCGTCAAGTTCTCCCCCTCAGGGATCAGTGAGGAAAAGAGAGTTGACTTGACACTGAATAAATAGTGGAGATATGAAATACCTTGTGAGGTCTTTTGAGTATATTCCAAGATGCTTCTCCATTCAGGGGGTCTATGCTGGAAACAAGCATCAGCTTGATATGTTACATCAAATGGACAAATCTCAGCATGCCCATCTGTCTTAAAAATACAATCCAGGCAGTTTTGACCTGCTGGCCTTGTTAAGGACATGAATGACAAGTGTTTATGAGCTGGCAAGCTAACAGACATGCCTTTAAATACTTCACAGCAACTACAAAGTCACTTCTTTAAAATCTGGGAAGCTGTCCACTTAATTTACTGTGTGCTGCTCATTGCGTGACCTCCTTGTGGAAGTTACATCTTTCTAATGAACACGATCACAGGATTCCACAAGCTACTGGGACGAATTCCTTCAGGCTACAGAGAGAACTCTGTAAACTGCCATGTCAGACTCTTTAAAGCTCTTATCAACTTCCCTGAGATCTCAAGCTGTATTTCTCTAGGCTGTACCCACAAGCAATGGATTGCTCCATTTGGTGCAGAATTTCCTGAACTATCAAGCAGTGTTCCTGACTGTGGTGTAAGATTTCAGAAGGTGACAGGATGAACTGCTCAAGTGTGCTTGGTCTCATCATGTTGTTTGTAACCCCCTGAATTATCCAATTTGCTAAAAGTGAGGAAAGCTAACGTAGGAGTATTTTTCACATCAAAATCTCTCAGTGGATTTACAAACATTTTGGAAAAACAAGCATTCATTTGCATGAGCCTTTATGTCCTTCACAAATTTACACCACATTTGCTTTCCTATAGGTGACAAAACAGTGTTTTAAAAAAAGGTTCCAGTCTGTGATCAGAGTGTCTGCAGTGGTGACATATCAACCGCTTCTTTAACAAGTTCATTGCTCTGCTCAACTGCTCTGACCATTAAGAACATTTTTTAGTACATGGGTTTTACAAAGATTCTACAGAAAACATTTGCAATTGATGAATGTCCAGATTACACCAGATGGCCTGACACAGCTTTACTTTATTAACAAACCACCTGACCAAACCTCAAAAGGTTTTATAAAGAATTGAGACAAAAGCCAAGAGACAACTCCATCAACAAGCCGTTGTGAGGACCCTGGTCTCACACCCTAGCTGACTGGATTCCCAGGAAGCAGCCTTGGTCATCATGTCACACCAGCTTATTCAATTACCAGGGAATTCACAGACTTGGATGGGCCAGCTTCCAGGGTTCCAGGATCTCCTTCCTGATTGGCTACATGATCTTGAACCTGATTGGCTGGTGGCCATATATAAACTTCCCGCTTTCTTTCTGGCCTTGTCTGAGCAACAAGCCTTTGCCTGCTAGCTGCTGTTTGGATGCCGCTTGACTCTGCCTTGCCGTCCCCATCAGATCCTGAATTACTATCTCACCAGATCTCACTACCTGCCTCTCTGTGTCTTCTCCCTGAATTGGATCTGCTGGCTATTGGACCACTTGTGTGAATTTTGACCACTTATCTGGACGGCACTTTGGCCTACCTGATCCCTGAGCATTACACATGTCATTATGGGCCTCTTGGTAGAAGCAAATCAGCATATTTTTCTTCAGATTCTTTCCCAACTCCTGAACAGTAGAAACTTTCACCTTTTGTAACTATTCTCTATGTTTGGTCATTAAAAATGGGTCAAGCAATACTTTACCCAAATATTCCAAGCATTTGGCATTAAAAAGGGAACTTATTTTTTTCCACACACCGAAGACTGTCTTGGATTTAGCCTTGAGAATGTACTTTTTCATTGGAGACCAGACCTCAACTTGCACTTTATTCAATTTTCTTTCTTTGTAGCCAAAAAAAAAAAATCATGTGAAAATTGGTTTATAAAATATCACCATTGTGATATTGTGGTTTTTTTCCCCACAACCTTAGTTTCAAATGTTAAGGAGTTAATTGATTTCCAGCCAAGAAAGGTTTATGGGTATAAAATGTGCTCAGACTGACACAATGTGAAATTGTCTTTCCTGAGTCAAAATGGACCATATGATCGCAAAAACATGTCTTGAAAAAGAACTAACTTCAAAAACCAACTGGTTGGCAATGATTAATGTAGATCCCAAAACTTTGGAGAAATGTATTACAGGAAAAATAAATCTCTCACTTTCAGATAATTTAAAAAATACACAAAAAGAAAAGGAGGACTTGTGGCACCTTAGAGACTAACAAATTTATTTGAGCATAAGCTTTCGTGAGCTACAGCTCACCTCATTAGATCATCCGATGAAGTGAGCTGTAGCTCACGTAAGCTTATGCTCAAATAAATTTGTTAGTCTCTAAGGTGAAGTGAGCTGTAGCTCACGATAACCTATGCTCAAATAAATTTGTTAGTCTCTAAGGTGCCACAAGTACGCCTTTTCTTTTTTGCGAATACAGACTAACACGGCTGCTACTCTGAAACCTGTCCTTAAAAATACACGTTTGTCATGAAACTGTTTAGTTGACTTTTGCTCTCATGAATCCCTTATGTAGCTCAAATTACAGTCATTTAACAAAAGCAAGATGCAAACACTGTTCTAATTGGGAAATGGATTGGTGACAAAAGACCACACACAACCAGTTAAAGAGCTTTGCCCATCTGAAATAGGTGAGAGTTTCAGGAAGCCACAGTGACAAGAGTACCATCATAAACAAGCATTTCTTCAATGCAGCAGACCTAGAAAGAGGCGTCCCATCAGAAATAAAAAGAAGGGATAATCTGAAATGATGATGTATAAAGGGCTATAAAACATTCCAAAATCCCAGAACTTTGCTTCCTCCATTTGGGAATGGGAAAAAGATGAAAAGATTTGGAAGAAAAAGAGTTTCAAGCACTAACGAATGTATATAGTGTCCTGCTGAATGGTAAAATAATATACTGTCCTGGAACTTTAGAATATTACTGCTTGTACTGGAGATTTCCTGACTACAATTAAATAGCACTTAGTCCCTGTTAAAAAACACCATCTGTCCCTGCAATGCAGCTGGGATCCTGAAGTTCTAGGAGCGTAAACACTCCTAGTTACCCAAAGTTATCTGATATTGTACTAAAAAAAGTAAACAGTAAAAAACAGGGAGAGATAAAAAGCATCCTCTTGTCCATAGGCTGGCCCTGCCCTGTAATACAGCCATTCTGGAGTTATGCCTGTGAAACCACAAGTGCAATGCCGAAGGGGAAATGGACTTTTTAATCAAGATGAGTCTAGCAGGTATTATGTCAACACTAACATTGAAGTCATGTTGGGAGTGTTAATGATGGCCAAGAAACAAATCCCGGCCAGCTTGGCTGGGATCTTATTGGAGAGAATTAGATGACGAAGCAAATTACCATGCACCCTTTGCAGGCCAGAGATTAGTTTAAAGGATACTGGCAAACAACTAACTCAACAAAAATATAAGCCTGTATCTCTTGTAGATGTCTGTGCCAGTGAATGATGAGTGGCCACACTGCAGCCACTAGCCCAGCAGCCTCTCCTCCGTTCTCAATCCTGAAAACCTATCGACTGTTAGGTTTCCTTTATATGGTATTTCAATCATAGCAGACTTTATTAAAGAGGGCAGAGTCAGCACTTAGTGCAATAAACAAATGCCATCATAACAGCCATGTCACACTGTGTTTGCTCTGTGCCAGGCAAATGCTGCATGCACACATCACAATTATTGTACATGGATACAGATAGAAGACTAAATGCTCGAAAACGGGTGCACACAAATCTGCAGGTGCAATTTCAGAAATTGGATTGAGGCCCATTTGAAAACGTGGCCCTCTAGGCTAGAGCATATCCTGCTACTGATCTGGACACGAACCCCAACTACTATGAGTAGAGATCTGCCACAATATGAAGCCATGCTATCAATGCCACTGTCTGATATATTCGAAATCAATACAGGATTGTCAAACCTCTTCTTTGATATCCCGAATTCAAAAATAATCACATCCTAAATGTATCTCTCAGGGTACATCGATACAGCAAATGAAGGTATGAGCAGGCAGGCCTCCCTGCACTACCTTTTAATCTAGCCAGTGCAGGTTATGGCGGCATGGACTGCAGGGCAAGCTAGCAACCCCTGTATATATCCAGGGTCCCTGGAGGGCTTGCACTGGAGTTGTTTAGGATTATTTTAATTATGAAAATATTGTTTCTGTTCTTCCTTCATTGCTAATGTTGCAAAGCTTGTTATTTTGCTATTGAATTCTAAGGGATAGTTGGGGATTTTATTGGACATGTCAGTTCTTTTCTATGTCTATTCTCCTTAAAGGCTGCAGCATCAATGGTGGTTTTTACTACTTCATAACATATGGCCCAGCCTAATTCCTATAAATTCATGTGTAAAACAAGAGGTCAATATTTCTAGTACAGAAATGGGATTTCCTTATGTGCTAATTAGATTTTTTTTGGTCACGCTTTATAATAAGGGCACATTTATAAATAGTTTATACTATGCTGATAAATGATTAATAGACATTTTAGTACAAGGCTAAGTAATTGCTCTACAAGATTGTTAGACTCTGACAGGTCAGTAGGGTGCTTGTAACCATGGCTTATTACCACCTATAGCACATACTACTCATGTCTATAACATGCTTGTAACATATATTAATAATGTATTAACCATTTACAAACTCTTTATAAATGCACCAGTTTTTCATGTTTATAGGATCATACAAGGTAGAATCAGAAAAGTCTCAAAGATCGAGTGATCCAGGGCATCCTGCAACATAGAACTCCTCGACAGGGCACTTATCAGATATTAATTTCAAAGACACTTGATCCGAGTAAAAGGCTTGCTGTGCTGGTTGAACTCCTCATCACAGGTCACTGAAATGCTTCTCCTCGGTGCCCTTGAGTGCAGATTGGAAAGATACACATAATACAGCTGGGTTTTTATAACCTACCTCAGTAATTCACTGGTATGGAAAACACTGCTCAGAACTATACAGCTCTTCTGCATTTGTAATCATACTGATTGGTCATGGTCCTGCAAGGTGCTGGGCACTCTGGCCTCTATCCAGTACTTAACTTTAAGGGTTTTACTGGATCAGGGCCAGAGCACTCGGCACCCTCGGGATCAAGCCCAAGAGATTTTAGAGAGAGTTCTGGTTTCCCCCTCAAACCAAATTCTTACCTTTGACCATTCTGAAGCCTCCCAGATGGAAAGGCAGTCCTGGCCTTCACAGCTTTGTATTGGCGTGGGTTTGTTGCCCAGGCAGTAGAGGTCTCTGGTGTTAACGTAGGTGCCGTTCTGCAACTGATAAACACAAGTCACTTCCCGGTACTGGATGCCTTTCTCACAGGTGGCAGAGCAAGAACTCCAGTGGCCTGTCACCCACCTGTTAAGAAAACAAAGAAGAAACATAAAAAAAGACAGGGTGGAATCCAGTGCCGTGTTTATCCCTTGGGAACGCTGAGAAACAAACCTCCCGTTCTGAGCCTGCGAATTTTGTATTGGCTTGTGTGAAATAGACGCATAATGATCACGTACCTTCTTGGGTTGAATTGTGTGGAGATTGGAAAGCGCCTTACAGGCCAGTGATACTAATTTACTCAGGATCACATTGGAGATAATGTGTGACTTGTCTGAGAAACTCCCTTTGCTCTGGCTAGGGGAAGGCTACAGGGCTCCCTTGCAAATAACGCTGCTCTAGAACAGCACTCAAGCCAACAGTTGGTGTAACTGGGTCACTTCTAGCTCATCTTTTCCATTTGATGTAAATATTCCGCTGTCCATCGCTCTGTGGCTGGCTGGAGGTTTAATAAGGGCACTCTCTCTGTTTTGAGGTTCAAGGCACAAGGTGATCCTTAAAAATGGTGGCTAAATGACAAGATTCCTCTTATTGGCAAATCCAACCTTAACCAAATGGCCAACGTTCAAGCTGTCTTTAAAAATACAAGATGATACTTCTAAAAGGGCTCCCATGGTATTGATTTAAAGCACCCATCTGTGGTTTGAATGTTCCAGTTTGGATGATTTTGCTCCTTTTCGTCCTTTCATTTTCTGTCTGGAAAGAATCTGGTTTAGAAGGTGGGCAGGAGGGATGCTTTTTACAATACCTACATAGCATCCATCTTATGGCTTCCTGCAATCTGTCAATGAGGAAGATGTTCTCTGTAATTACGGGAATTCCTGGACGAAGTGAAGGACTGGAACAATAGCTCTGTGTGCGTGCACAGGAAGGCAATCCTCTCTGCTCCTCTGGGAAGTCGGCCTTCTGGGTTATTATTTCGGACTGTCATCTAGATTAGCATCCTTAATCAAATGAATCTTTTCCTTGTCACCTGATCCTGAGTTACTTAATACTGGAAGTGGCACAGATAAGTAAGATGCTTTCTCAAAGGCAAAAATCTGCTTGAAAGAAAGGATTTATTTTTGCTGAAAGCCCAGGAAGGGAAGCACAGGTGCCTAATTAAGAGCAACACTTGAAAAAAGGCTGTTGAAAGGTTTGCATCTCCTAAAGGAATTAACTATCAAAAAATACAAATGTTTCTGGGGGTGGGGGTGGGGGTGGGGGAAGGGTCAGCCCACAAAATGTAAAACTATAATTGTCGTGTGTATTTGTCATTAATTCATTTGCAATCTGTTACCATTGCTAACATGGTGGTATTGTGCTGATGATCGTCTTTGAGGCTAAGGCAGAAGCCAGCTGGTTTGAGAAGGACAACATGCGATGGGCTACATGGTCACAGATTTGCCAGCTGTCCTACGCACAACAGTGGCATACATTTTTTGTGTGTATAAGCAATTGACACATTCATTAATTCTGGTGGCTACAACAGCTAGGGAGACACTGAAAGTGCGTTTTTTTTTGTTTTTGAGGCGAGGGGAGTAGTTTGGTGCATCTCAGCATCTGACTGCTTGGTATTTTGGTTATGGAATGGGATAATGCCGACTGTGTAATTAATACTGAGACAGAAGGACCGACACATCCAGCCTATCAGGGGAGGATCCAATGTCCACTGAAGAAAACAAAGAAGTCTCCCATTGACTTCAAGTGAGCTGGGTTGGGTCCTCTCTGAGCAGAATGTGAATGTGGCCTGTCCGGTCACAGGAGCTGTTCACTAAAGGGATGGGTGGAAAGGAAGTGATTTGCTTTATTCATTTAAAGTAGCCACAGAATTGGGAATGGCTGCACTGAATATTCACAGCAGCACTGCAGTCTCTCCATGATCTATAGCTACTGGCAAAGGAAGACAAAAAAGAGATTGACAGCCAAGGAGAAAGCCAAAGATAAAAATACATTCTTGGCAGAAGCTGCTCTGAACTGCTTTCATTTTAGGATGGGTAGCATGTGTCCTGCCAGGTACTCCTGAAATGCCTTAAACAGTCAGATTATGACCTTCCTTTAAGGAAGGGAAAGGAGTTCCTATCTGTGTTTTCCCTTGCTCTGACAAGAAGTTGAAAGTGCCTCATTTCATTCCTGTTCAGTGGATTCGTTAGGCACCGTTCTAACAGAGACGTAACAGTGAGTGATAGGAAAGAATAAATGTCATGAATATAAGATGAATGATCACATAGGACCGATCCAAAGCCCACTGAAGTCAACAGAAAACCTTTGGAATCAGGTCCTTTCATACATTTAATATTTCAAATGTGGTTCCTGGGCAAAGAGAGATTTCCAGTGTCTCTCTACGAGTGGCATACAAGTGCAGTTACAGATCTGCCATGGTACATCACTGAACCACAGAGTCTAGGGCCTTGTCAGGTCGCTAAAAAGAGGAGCAAAGCTATGTCCTAGCAGTTCTCTGAAATCCGAACATGAAAAGCAAGTAACAAGGTGTCAGCCAAGAAAAATGGGGTTTCCTTTGACACGGAAAATTCTATCAATCACAGAAAGGCAGAGCCTAAGAGAATAGTTACAGTTTCCAGGGGATGGGAGGCACCTCCTTCAAGGTAACGAGTAACTTTCTCAGAGGCACCTCTAGAGAAGTCATCCCTTCCATTGCATGCTCAGTTTGCTCTGAATAGGCCATGAATACAGCTGATGCCTACAGCTCTGCAAAAAGCTTGGCACAGAAAGTGAAACTGTCAAATTCAGATTTTTTTTTGCTAATTTCAAGGGAAAGCGAAAAATCATGTTTTTCTTTTTGTTATTTTGGCCCATGTGATTTCATTGTCACTTTGGCCACAAACACCTTGGAAAGTAAAACCAGGAGATTTTGCCCAGCTTGTTACAGCGGGCAACGAAGCCACATCCCTATCAGTTTGTCTTTCACCTCAGTACCTGCCGGCATATTCTTTTCCTTCATGCAGTGGTTGCCATTCAACAGTGAGCCCCTGACAGACTGCCCACGCAGTGATATCGAAGACAACAATCACCAATGCACTGCTCTGTGGCACAAAGGCGCTGGAAAAGCCTGGCACTTATTCCAAATGGAAAATTCCCTCTGCACCACATCCTGCTCAAGGGGATGTGATTCTAACATCTCTATGTCCCACCCCTTCTCTGGTAGCCAGGTATAAGTTAGAGCTACCTTAGGGTCACTAACTTACACTGTGAGCTGAATTACTCTTTAACAGAGTCACAGAGCTGGTATAAAGCCACCTTTGTCCCCCAACTCAGGTCCTGCACTCAGTTTGGCACAGCTGCCCCAGACCTGAGAATGAGGCTCATAACTGGAGTCAAAACTACTTGAGAACAAGCAGAGTTCTTGTAGCTCTCTCTCAAAGCTAATTCTTCCCTTACTCCAAAACAGTACAGCAGACATTAGGCAAACAAATGTCCATTTGCAAACCAAGCTCTGCCAGTAACACCAAGCACTTTTACAGTATCCAAAGATAAAGGTTTACTTTTAAAGATTGAAAAGATAGAAATTGCAGCAACAAATTGAACTGTACATTCTGGGTCCAAAAGTGCAAACAAATTCCCAACTGGATATGAACGTCATAACAGTGCCATTGACCAATACATTTCAACTCACCATTTCACCACAGTCTATTTTTATGACTACTTCAGTAACTTTATTATATGTTTCCTCTTTTTTAAAGAAAATTAAAAGCATAAATAGGTTGCATAATTTTATAATAATAATTATAGTACTTCCCACCTCTACAGCACTTCGTCTCCAAGGATCTCAAATTAATTAAGCCTCACTTTCCCCGTCACCCTTTTGTGATCCTGGGAAGAATCTGCACTGCCATTCTGCAGATGGAGAAACTGAGGCACAGATGGTTGAAGTGACTTGGAAACATAATTCACATCTCTTGATGTTCAGTCCTGAGCTTTAGGAAAAACTCCATTGTATCAGCCGTAATCAATCATATTCAAAACAAAGAATGAAACAAGCGTAAGTCTTATCCTACAATTTCTTTTCTGGGGGGCTCTTGATTCTGCAACAATTTACATGAGTGTTTAACTTTACACACTGAACGCAAAGGGACTATTCAGTGAGCCAAGTCAAGTGTGAGCTAGTCTTTGCAGGATCCTGGCCTAAATTAATACCATCTTTGCAGGCTAGAACTCCAAGTAGTATTTCCCTTTCCAGCGTTTGCAATGGGTTTGAGAGCCAAAATGGAAATGCTGCTAGTAATTAAGATGAGAGATTTCTTATCAATTAAAAGGCTTATAAATAATGAATCATACAGCGTCAATGATCAGAGTCCTCAAGGCATAGTGCCTTAATAGGTAAGGAACAAGCCCTCTGTGCGCTTTAAAATATAGTTTAACTCTCAGCAAACAAGTAACAGTCGCTGCATGGGTGATTATTAGAGCAAGATGAGCAAGGATCATCTATCACAGCCTTCATGAAACATGCTGATTTTTTGACAAATTGCTTTGAATCCTTGATGTTGTTGAAAGATGGGCCATATTCTCTGCTGGTGTAAACCGGTGCCACCCACTTCAATGGAGCTGTGTCAGTCAGCAGGTTTGGCCCATTTGATCTCAATAATCCAGCTGAGTATCGGTGTGTGACATTTGAGCAGAAGCAGGAGAAGCTGGGTGAAATTCTGGGTGCTTTAGTTTTATAAAATTCCTTCTCCCATGATCTAAAAATCAACATCCCAGTCTCTAGGGAGGGGAAGAGGGAATGCTATAAGTAGTGCAGAGGGAAACAGTCAGTTGAAACTGATAGTATGAATTGTACTTGAGGGCAGAAATGGCTTCAAACCTGGGCCTCTTACACCCATCCTGACACTGCTGCCATCAGCACCAACTGGTACAAATACTGAAATGAACGAATACTGCACGGCTGAGGTTTCAGCATCCATCTTGTTCTAGCCACAGTGTGAACTGGGCCAGAGCCAGGAAGTTTGGATCTGGATTCAAACATCTCCAAAGTTCAGAGACGGTTGGACTGAGGGTTTTGGTTTGGCCCCATTTTAGAGCCAGGGGCT